ATGATGAATTCTGTGAAGCGCAAGTCAAGAAATGTGGTGTTCTTATTTCATCCGCGTTTCTTGTATTATATCTATGATAGTCACTTCCTTTTTCAATTCGATCACACAAATATCGAGGCAGCAAACCGTTAACTACTTTAAAAATGGACACCATAGTCAAATATACAATTCTTAGCTTCACCGACAACCATTGTAAGGCGTCTAGCTTCAAAGTTGAGGAAGTGAATCTATTACATCTCAAAATCAAACGCATTATTTTACTCTGCAAGCGCTGTTATCTCGATATTTGTGTTGCATTGGCCAGAAATAAAATGGAAGGGCAAAAGTCAAGATGAGGAGAGATGATTGATTTGTATAGCTGTATTTTACTGGCAATAGTTAAATCGTTTTTCAATCGACATAGAATTCCATACTTCTTGGCAATTTTCTTGATGACATTGTCAATGTGAGAGTTGAACTTAAGTTTGTCATCAATAATCACGCCAAGATATTTAATCTCCTGAACGCGATCAATAGTCTCATCATCAATTACAACAGAGACGTTCTCATTTAATCGATTCCGCGAAATCACCATAAATTTAGTTTTACTTGTATTCAATTTTAACTGCTTACACTTCAACCATCTACTTAGATACTGCAAATTTTCATTCAAGTGTGAGACGGCAACTTCTAAATCCTTAGCTACAATGAATAACACAGTATCATCTGCAAAAAGATTAATGTCGCAAAACCGTAAAACACGTCGCAAGTCATTAATATACATAATAAATAAAAGGGGCCCAAATACACTTCCCTGGGGCACTCCAAGGTTGTTCCCCACGGGACTGGAAACAGAATCATTAAAAACAGTCCGTTGAGTTCTGTCAGACAAATAGCTTTCAAACCATTTATATGCAGTACTCGTAATTCCAAAGCGCTTGATTGTACTTAACAGTAAGGGCCTAGAAATTGTTTCAAAAGCGCGTTTCAGATCAAAAAAAAAAACTGCAACAATCGTATCTTCACGCTCCAAGTTGTCTTTCCACTTTGCTAACACCAAATTCAATGCAGTTTCACAAGAACGACCTTCCCGATATCCCGATTGTTCTGGTATCAACAAAGAGTTGCTATTCAAATACTCCAACAGCTGGCATTTAACAACAAGTTCTAAGATTTTCTCTAATGTGTGCAACATGTTGATGGGACGAAACTCTTCGGCTTTAATCGTTCCAGCAACTTTTTGAATAGGAACCACTAAGGATTCCTTCCAAATTTGTGGAACAAGTCCTGTTTGTAATGATTCATTAATAAGGTCCAGCAAGATGTGGCCAATGACATGAAAGCAATCTTGAATAACTCTAGCATTAACATTATCTACTTCAGCCGATTTTCCTAATGAAAAACAAAGTTCATCTAATGTAATTTGGTAAAAAACTTCAAATCTGCAACTACTATTAACTGGCTATTTTATTTCGTCAGGTTCATCGACCAATTCAATAGATTGATTAATCAATGAAACACTGTCTACGAAATAATCATTAAACTTAGATGCAATTACTTGTTCTGACTGTTCTAATGTGCCATTAAAAGGTATGGACCGCGGTTTGCAATTACTAGGTTTTAATAAAGATTTCAAAATTTTCCATAACTCCTTGCTGTTGTTTTGATGCTGATCAATCTTCCTTTGAACATATTCACAACGAGTTTTCTTTATCGATTGTGAATACTTATTACGCGCGATTGTGTACCTAGTCCAATGATTGTCATTATTAGATCTACAAAACTTTTTGTACCATTTGTCCCTTTTCCGTTTAAGACGCAAAAGATCCAAATTGTACCAGCTGTTCGAGTTTTTCAAAGAAACAAACTTTTGCTCAACTAGTTGATTGGTACACGTTTTCAAAGCGTTATTAAGAACAGCTGTAGATTCATCTAAGTTACCGTCCGCGAATGGAAAATCCAGGCTTCTCTCAACAAGATTCGAAACAGCTTGCTTCGAATATTTCCTCCAGCACTTCAATTTTACAAAATTATCGTTATCGTTAACATGGTCTAAGACATTAATCACTAAAGTCTCATGATCGGTTATTTTCAAATCAGTATCCGTAACTGAACAAATGGAATCAAAATTGGAATAAACGTGGTCAATTAAAGTTCTACTGTGCCTGGAAATACGCGTATATTCATTTACCGTTTGCTTTAAATTAAAAAACTCAGCTAAACGCTTCAAATGATTCGAATTATGGTTATCATGCCAATTAAAATTAAAATCACCAGCCAACATATTTAATTTACTAGAATCAAGGAATGTCTCGAGCCAGTTCTCTAAAACTTCAACAAAACGCTGGTCACTAGAACTGGGAGAATGATACAAAACACCATAATTACCCATCTTCATGCCACGTACAAATGTAATGCCCAAGAACCAGTTGCCATCAATAACTTTGTTGGTACGAAGGTTGAATTGAACTGATTCTTTGACATAAATAGCAACACCGCCAGTGTGTCTAGAATGTGATAAACAAGCAGCAACAATATATCCCGGAATACTATACTGATCAAAAGCTTCAGTTTCTACAATATGAGTTTCAGATAATAAAACTAAAAGAGGACGTTTTTCCTCAACAATCTGACGTAATGCCGCGTAGTTTGTTGACAACCCCGCAATATTCAAGTATAAAAAATCGAATTGATTCACATTCCTGGAACTTGGCTGCTATTTATTGAAACGCAAGCTGCTTTTCTTCTGATCAAAAAGTCTTTTATAGAGCAAACATTCCGAGCTAAATGCGGCATGGTTGACGTCCAAGTTCATTTTTCGTTCTTTATTCATTTTCAAACAATTAATACATTTCAATACAGTTGACGTACACTCCGACGTTTTGTGTTGTTGGCTGCACCTAGAGCATCTATCACAATTTTTTCAATCCATGCTTTTGTGCCCAAATTCTCCACATTTGAAGCATCTCAACACATTAATCGCGGGAACTATCGAGCACCGATCAAACCCTACATTTACTTTTTTCGCACATAACAAACATTTATAAGTATCGACATCGACTTCAATTACAACACTAAACTTGTTATAAGTGAAGCGTGGATTTTCAAACATGTTCACTACTTTTACATCATTAATAGCGATGTCTTCATTTTGACTTTTTAAGTAGTCAATAAAGACATCGGAGGAAAACTGATCGCTCATGCCCACTATTTTCAATGTTGGCACCGAAGTGGGAACAAAAGCACTATATTTTTCACCCAGATTGCTTTCAATACCATTTTTTACATCACTTACGTTTGCTCCTGTTGCACACTCAACAATAATGGAGCGATCTTTACCATTCCTAAAATTACTGATTTTGTGTGTTTTTGGATCCAACTGAGTTTTCAAAAACTTACGAGTATCTTCGCAAGGTTGTTTGGACTCTTTCGGTTTAATCACAATGACCGGACGAGTTTTACGATTATCTGGTTTGTTACTTTTACTGTTACTATTAGTTTTACTTTGACTAGCACGACTATGTCTTTTTACAACATCCGCAAAACTCGCATTTTCTTGAAAAACAACATCATCATCATGATCACTATTACTAATTACTAATTTACGTGTTTTGGTCCGATTCTGACTGAATCGTCTTAGATGAACTGCGATGATCATTCTTTACAGCTAATTGGTTTTCCGCATCAATTTAAAAAAATTAACTTTTCATATTATCCAATTTCTTACAAATTAAATTTTCAATCCCATTTACATTTATTCTACCATCCCGCTTTTAACCGCGATGTCCACCTGAGCAGCAATGTGATCTCGCATGTCAGTGATCGAGTCCGAGAGTTGAAAAACCTTTTTCATCTCTTCCTCTATCCTTTTGACGCGCGAGATCAGATCATTCTGCTCGTCACAACTCTGATCTGATAGACAACTATCACACTTGAACAGAACATTTGCATTATCTGCTATAAGCCTCGCCGCAGTCTTAGTGAGTGCCGCACAAGTGAAATGGAACGTTCCATTGCACGGACCTACACATGTAACTGGGAGCCCACTAATAGCAATAGACTGCTCGCATACATTACACACATCCATTTTACCAAATTAAACGCTAACACTGTTAGCAGCAGACATATACAGGGGAGGAGAACACAACATAAAATTTTACCGCCACAGCTCACTACACAAAAGCAATAGCGCGCCGGGGGGAAAATACAAAATTAAACAAAAACTAGTTGCTAGGCAACCTTTCCTCTACTTATCTTGTTAGAAAAATACCACGGGCACGCGTTGGAATAATCCTTTTGCGGCACACGCCACTATTTCACACGAAATTATTAATTTATTTTCACAGCACAACTCAACAAAAACACTACTTTGTACGCCATACTACGCAGAAGGTTTACTCTCACATTTAAACTTGTACACACATTATTCTCAGAAAAATCTCACTGAACAAATTACGCAAAAATTGGCCCCATCAATCGAATGATGCCTTAGATTAAACAAACTAGGGGAAATGGATGTAATGTAGGCCTAAATGTCCCTAATTTGGGCCCATACATAAATTCAGCAATCGACTAAATTTTCAATAGCAACCAAAAATACCCATTTGTACCGTCCCAATGACGCGTTCATCTAGATAAAATTGATAAATAGCGGATTTTTAGCGATGGGCCCAATCTTAGATCCATAGGCCAACATTAGAGTAATGTCCCCTATGTAGAATAACTTTGAAACCAGCCACGACGAACTTTAGGGACATTTTACATACTGAATCGTTAATGGGGTCACACAAGTTTTATTGATAATTATCAACAAACAATCATTTTTCACTGGGGTTGTTTTTTTACGCAGGGTTATACGTGCCAAGTAGAAATAAACCACGTGAATAAACCACATAAATGCTTACATCCGCGTAAAAAATCCTCGAAAATAAAATCAAACGCGTTTCTGATCCAATCTAAGCGAATAAAGACAACCGCGTAAATTCCAAAAACCGTGTAAACCGTGCTTGAAATTCACTCACCCTATCGAATTGGCCGTGCCGGAATAACAGCTGTTGGTACCACCACTATGGCCGTCCTCGGTGATGCCGCTGGTCTCCTTGAGCGAGTCCTCTTTCGGATGTTTGTGCTTGTGCGACGAATGCAGCCCACTGCCTCCGATGCACTTACCGAGTGGACTCTTCAGCGTGAAATAGCTCCCCGGTTTCGGCTTCAGGTGCCGATTGTTCATCTCCATGTGAACAATCTTCATGAATTCAATTTGAGCAGCGAGTTTCTGAATTTCTTCCTTGGGAGAAAAATTGCGATAGAGAGGGGATCAAAAGTGTTTCAATGGTTTGATTTGAATGTCTCCGGAAACCTACCTTAAGTTCTTCGTTTTCCTGGTACAGGTCTGCGGTTTCCTCCGGAACCAGCCCAATGCCATTGAGGGAGAACGACGCGGTTATGCCTCGTTTCCGGGCTCGTTGGTCCCACTGGTCACCCTGACCACGCAGTATTCGCAGAATTTTCGGTCCGAAAACCAGTGCTATCGTCACGGATGTGCTCAGCTGTGTCCGGATAAAGCCTAGCAGATATTTTATATCCGGACCGGCTTGGGGGAAGAAGAATAAACTGCACGGGTGGGAGAGAAGATTTAAGCGGTGATTAGTTAGCCACATGGTGCCGAAAGGAAGTGGGTGTAAATTTGGTCTGTATTTCCTGAGACTAGACGGCATTAAACGGAAGTGATCAAATTTAACTTTTAATGGCGACATTTTTGGAAAGATCAACTTGAATTTACTCTAACTTACTTTGGAGAATCTGAGCCGTGAGCTGGAACTTAATTAGTCTAGCAGTTGTTGAACGACCTTTTACCAGAAATTTTACGAAAATGAGGAAATAAATTCGTGAAAATCATCAGTGGCAAAGTTCAAGTGGCAGAAATCGTGATTTTAAACTGCTCGAATAATACGATCCATTCAAAGTAGAAAAGATTTTCGACGAATGAAGCGCGTGATGGTAATTCAAACTGATTTAATGAAATTTACATTGTTCCTGGCGTGTAAAGGACTACATACAAAGCGAATAGATTAGCAAACCAAATATACTCACTGGAACGCAACCATCGTGGTGTTGACGAGCGCTATGTTGTAAATGGCGTACGAGATGAGTCGGGCCTCGTTGTACAGCGACTCGGCATTTCGGACGTTGTAGCAAACACGGATGCCCCATGCCAGGAATAGCACCTCGCCGATGGCCAGACTGTGATCCCACCAGTTGTAGGAGCACTGTTTGAATATTAGTCCGTTCTGATCGACTATCTGTGGGCGGAGAAAATAGCACAACATCGGACGGTGGTTAGATCTGCTTGGAATTGTGTACCGAGTAGAAACATAATTAGTTGAACGTTTGCGCGTTTTCCATGGATTCATGTTATGTGCCACCCGCACAGATATCCCTCTTGCCACAAGGCAGCTATTTCTTTCATCCGGAGATTGTGTATTTGTGGTTAATCTTGATGGGGTATTCACAGAGGAGTTAATTAAGCTGTGTTTGTACTGAGATTGATTAAAATCGAGAAAATGTTATTTGCATTCGTGTCACAAATTGGAGAGCTAGAAGCAGTCAGCCAGCTCAAAATATCGATTTTATTCCCTTCCTGATGTTTTTCGAATCGGTTGCGCTCGTACCGACAGGTATTGTCGGTACAGTTGGAAACCGAAAAACTCCGCTAGCGACAATCGATTTTACTTTCGTTCTGTACATTATGCAAAGTGTCGGAAAAAGTGCGCTGTATAGCGCATAATTGTGAGAATACAATGTACACTATCTATAACGCATAGAACGAGAGTAATATCGATTGTCGCTGGTGAGGTTTTCCGTGTATATATAATAATGAGTTTTCACCGTTTGATCTCCAGTTTTCAAAATGACGTCCAAGCTAGAAGAGCAGCGTGTCAAAATTTTGCTCGCGCAGCAAGATAATCCGACGTTCTCACACGCCAAGTTGGCAAAATTGCTGGATGTGGCCAAATCGACCGTGACAAACGTTTTAAAAGTGTTCGAGGAGCGTCTGTCGACTGCCAGGAAGCCTGGAAGCGGCGGCAATCGTAATCCGGACGTGACAGCAACGACGAAGAAGGTGGTGGTGAAATATAAGCGGAATCCTAACCTCCCCATCCGGGACGTCGCTGGCAAACTCAATGTATCCCATACTACTGTGCAGCGGGTCAAGAAACGAGCCGGGTTGTTGACGTTTAAGAAGGTGAAGGTGGCGAACCGAGATTACAACCAAAACACGTCGGCAAAGCAGCGGTCCTGAAAGCTGTATACGAATCTGCTCACAAAGTTCGACTGTGTCGTCATGGACGACGAAACTTTGAAACAAAAGGATTTTCTACTCCGCTCTGACCTGCGGTCAAACACCACAGCTAGCTTTCTCAGGGCAAACTAGGGCAAAAAACGATATATCGGCACTTACCTTATCCAAATACACCTCACAGTATTCGGGTTCTTAACGATAAGCGAAACAAATGATTTACGAGTTCATGAATGTATTAAGGAAAAAAAAAACGTGGTGGAATTCAACTATTCATTATTTGTATAGCGTTAGCGTTGTTATGATATACTTCGTAGATTGGATACTAGCGACACTCACGTCTCTTCTGAAATTCTCAGTTAGACTACTTTCAGGAATAATGCTGAGGAGTAAACATTGGTTCCAATCTAAACAAGAGTAACAGAAGCATGACTGTCGCTATTCCCGGCCACGCCCATCTTTACCATAACTAGGGATAGGTAAGGAAATGTTGATGTAGTACTTACTTAACGAGAGGCCACCGACTTAGCGACACCCTCATAAGTGCTACGGAGTTGGAGGGTTGGGTAGGGTATTCGGTTAGGATTCACCTCAAGTTGGCGATGCAACCAAAAGTATGCATTGTTTATTTGTTGTTTATTTAATCTCTCGATAGCCGGCTATCGAAAGAACATATTAATTTTGTTTAGTGATAATGAATTTCAACAGTCATGATGGAGAGCTTGGGATTAAACCCATGATTTTCTGCTCAGTAAACAAAAACGATCCCTCCAGGGTCATCGAGCATCTCAGAACCATAACGCTTCGCGACAATACAGGACTACGTTTTCGCTTGATATGCAAATAGTTTCCGAGGTTAATGTTCAATATCAAATATACAAATGATGGTGGCGATTTATTGTGCTGTGGAAGAGCTTGGGGTTAAATCCATGATTTTCTGCTCAGTAAGCAAAATCGATCCCTCGAGGGTCATCGAGCATCTTATAATCCACAGCGCTTTGAATAACTATTATTTACGATAATTACATGAAAGAAATAACATATAAACTACAAACAAAACGTGACTACTAAAATCTCAAAAAGATATTCTCACAAGTATATTTCACGCAACCAGGAATCTCAAAACCATTAGACGCTATAATGATACTCTGCACATGTTAGACACAAGAAAAGGCCAAAAAGCAAGCGTCCGACACACAAAACCCGCCAAATCCACTGGCAGTCACAATCAACGATTCTACGAATCGCGAGCGCTCACGAATCATAAAACCGCTGACTGCGACACTCTGAAAGCGAAATTGACAGGCTCTATGCGCCAAACACCCGCCCTCCAATCTCCTCCCGCATCCAACAGCACAAATCTCCATTACAACATCTAACGAATTCAAAACTCCGAAAATCACTTATCTATAGCAAGTGAGTGGAAGCAACCCTGCATGCAACCATTCTTCATGATACACTTTTTCTGCCTATCTTTTTATTAGCCCTGTGGACATGCGTTAGCTTCGAAACTTCTAACCAAACTGGGTAAATTTTCAGATCACAAAAAAAAAAACTTTCAAAGGTAATTACAAGTAAAATAAATATTGATTATTTTACGCAAAAACGAGCAAGTAATATTAAATCTCTTGTATCATATGCTAATGCAAATTGACTGTAACAAAAATAATATGCTTAAATAAAATAAAATATTAATAAAATTATATGCAAAATTAACTAGAAGATCATTACTTTATTGGTGAGAAGTTCTCCCAGTTCCTCTGTATACAGAACAAATCTGATACTATAATTAGAATTGCTCAGTCTGCATGAAGCAGCCGATTTCATCAAGGAAGTTCAATTAACAACCAAGAATTAATCGTTTGAGGTATACTGAAGCATTAAGAAGGTGATATGTGTCACTATGGGAAATCATCATCGTTGTAAATATAAAGAAATTAAACATAACCCTTTGCTTCAGTACCGTCAACCTCCATGTCCATGGGGAGGGTCAACTATTCATTATTTGTATAATTTCACATACTGTTACGATGTGCGCAAATATATTTTCGTTGGCTAGCATTCGTTGCGGCCGTCGGACGGGTGGGCGCCTTGAAGATCTCGGTCGGACTGATGGACCGTGCGTTAGACATGGGTGGACATACCTTAGCGTGTGACTCGCCGGTCACGATCAGAGATGCCAGGCTTATTTTGAAAAAATCTGGCAAAAGCCGAAAAAATGTCTGGCAAAAATCTGGCACAGCAAATTAACATAGGAAGCTGCCAGATTTCTCAAAAAAATTGTCTGGCAGAGCTTAAATTTCTCTGGCTGTGCCAGATAAATCTGGCAACCTGGCAACGCTGGTCACGATGGTGGTGGTACAGCTGCTTCGAACTTGATCATCTCGTGGTTACGGTGGTAGTGAGCGATGAACTTACGAGTACGATTCGCCGATCGCACCTGTACTGGTGAGCGGTCTCGTGAACGCTGGGGTGGTGGTGGCTTCGGGGCGGATCCGGTGGGGAATTGCCGGTGGTGGAGAGCACTGGAACGTCTGGACTTTATCACTCTTCGTCGATGATAGCACGTCCGACGAGGTATCGTCACCCCCGTGGGATGATCGACGACAGGGTAGCGGGACCGTATGTTGACGGACGGTCGTGGCGGACTCAAGCGGACACTAGTTTTTTGTATCACTGGTGCACAAGGAGTGGGTTTTTACGAGGGGAAGTCGCACACAAACTGAATCGGGCATGCGTCACGCTACCGGACCTCTAACGGTACCAGACAATCACTGCCGGTCCAAGTAGCCGCACTTTTGGTCCAAAGGACACCACTCCGCGAGCTTGCGCCTCACCAATTCGCTATCAGCGGATTCTGATACACTTCACTTTTTTTCGCCCGATTGTAACTTATCGGTTTATAAAAATACTTTTAATAAACCTCGCTCGAGTTTAACCGCGTATCCGTCACACTAGTGTCTTTTCTATGTTTGGTAGTTCCCAAAAGAGACCTCCCCACATGTGTGGCACTCCTTTTATATCCGCGACTCTCCCACTCACATCCAGCCAATCTCTCTCACCATACAACGCATCTAGTCCATTTCCTCGAAATCGGGTATTCAGCAAACGCACGGTCCCGTTGGTAGCGATCAACCTCGTACGTATTCAGCGGTGAATTTCGTAGTGACGGGTATTCTACCCTAGCTAGTTTCTTTTCTTGAGAGTGATTTTTGTATGGCGCGTTAGGATTACCTAGTTGTTTTCCTAGCTATAAGGAACAGAAATTAAAAGTAAATTTACTTGTGGCATCCACCGCCGTCTTTTATCACAAATTATTTTAATTTCTGTTGGGGTTTTTAGTAGTAAAATAAATCTGTGTATATAATTCAAATAGTTTAATAATTCAGTTTGCCCAATAAATTTTTTTTTCATCATCGATTGTGCAAACGGTTACAGTCATCAGGACCCGAGAATCCAGCCGTGCTACATCACTAGCATTGGAAACGCGTCCTGTTGTCGGTCGGCGACAACATTCGCCTGTATTGTACAATCGACCATGGGATTCCATTGGAATGGTTGCTTGAAAGGAGAAAAGGAGCGAAACAAAACATGTTTCTTTTTTATGTCTTCGGGTCTATCTGGAAAGGATTGGAACCCGTTGGTTACAACTTATGTGAAGGCGGATTTCAAGCAGTTTCCGGGACAGGAGTTTTATACCGCATCAGGAAAAGGGAAGGTGGCTGAAATTTTCAAAACCATCAAACTATCGAAGCTCCCGAAAAAAATATCTCGTCTGGCAGGCCATATGCACGTTTGTTCAAAAAAGAGGCAATTTCCTTACTACGGGAATCATCAATCAAGAGATTTACGTCCAGAAGTGTCTGGAAAAGCGGCTGCTACTGTGCTGTTCTGGCCGAGCTTAGCAAGCTGCCACTATGGGAAAAAGGCAATCGAGTGCTACGATGCGAACAACGTGGTAGTTGTAGACCACAACCCTCCCAACAGCCCAGAACTCCGCCC